TGCTCGTAATGCTGTGTGTCCACTCAGAATACGTACCATCATACTAGATTCAAACTTACTCATTTTACCCATAGGATCTTTGAGGTTCTACCCACCGTTTCATTATTCCAAGAGGCCTTATGGGATTTTCTCACCCATATTTTTAATTCAGCTTTTGTTGCGTCGAATGTTTTTGCGTTTGTCAGGTTAACTAGCTCGAGCTCCCTTCCCATTAATGCTTTTACATTCGCCCTTTCATTGCCGACTACTCCCGAGTGACCTGGTACCCATCTGGGAGAGTATTCAATTAAAGCTTTCTTACAATTCAATATGGTCTTATATTTAATTCTATCACCTGATATCGCCCTATTTGCCTTCTGGCTGTCGGTAAATATATTAAGCGCTGTGGGCGCCATATTTCTTCTAATCCAATTTACACATTCCGTTATTGCTCGGACTTCTGCCTGGAAGCTTGTGTTATGATAAGGTAAGCGGTGGTATATTTCTGTTTCTAGGTCCTCAATATAGAACCTCAGGCCCACTTTATCCTCAAATTTAGAGGCATCCGTGTAACAATGGATTCCTACTGGTATTTGCTCTAATTTTCCGCTTGACCAAGACATTCTATCTGGACATTCTATCAGCGTTTCAAAGTTTCCGTCTTATTCTGTGTCTGGTATGCGATCGGACACGTCCGATGATTGTGTATAACCTTCCAATGTGTCCAGTATACATTGATGACATGTCCTATAACCGCTTTTGGCCAGTTCGCCTAAAATAAAGAGCCTTTCAATGGGTGGAATATCTAGCTAAGTTTCCAGAGCCTTGGTTGAAGTAGTACTACACTTGGCACCGCTTATACCCAAGCAGCATTTACGCTGAACTTCCTGTAGTAGTTTGATATTGCACTTTTTGTCCAAAGCCGTCCACCAGATTATTGAAGCTTAAGCTAGAATTGGTCTAATTACACTTTTCTAAAGCCAATTTGTCATAATAGGACTAAGACCCCATTTCATGCCTTTAGTTCTCCTACATATGACCCAGCACCGATGTGCCTTGTTGATCCTATGCTCTATGTGGTGTCTCCATTTTAATTTTCGGTCAAGGATTACACCAAAGTACTTAACTTTATCCGTCACCGGTATCTTCTTGCCCAGGAAGCAAGGTTCAGTATATGTAGAAATTTTTGTCTTTCTTGTGAAAATACAGATTTACGTCTTCGCCGGGTCTACCCAACGACATACTTTTCAATAACTACTACACATCGTCTGGATTACATAGAAGTAGTCATATAAGGTCTTACTAATAATGTGTTATATAAATACTTTCTAATTCATTAGTCATCTTGCGTCTTTTTATGCGATTTACAATGACTACTTTTTCTAATTACTTGTAATCGCTTGTTTTAAGTACTTTCCTCTAATGACATCACCGTGTTAAAATAATGACTTAAAATGGTATTGTGTAAGTAAATTTTAGCATTTTAACCCCTTACATGGTAATACAATCCTCTTGATAATGTAGTGCCAACGTGTTCAGAAAAAAGTCCTTTGTAACATAACAAATAAGTATATAGTTGAACAACTGTAGAAGAATGCATTTATTTAAAGTTTTGTAAAAAGGTGAATAAATAAAGAACTTTGAAATGTTTTACCGGCAAAGAGGCATTATTGAAATTCCCTTAAGTGTCAAAGTATATTTAGGTTTTAGCGAAAAGCAATCATTCATAAGTTCATATAAAAAATATTCAGATGTATGAATAAAAATAGACAAAATACTTACATGCAAAATACAAAATACTTACATGCATATAAAAATACATTATAAATTATTTATATTTTACATACATTACCCAGAAGCATGTATTAATGCCTTATGTACATAAATAAATAAAAAGTGAGAAAATATGTAAGGAATTTGAAAATAAAAAGAAATATGTCATAATATTTCCTTCATACTTTTGACATGAAGTTGTGCTATTTTAATTCCAAGCACGAAAGATTTTTTTTCTAAAAGGTATCAGCAAAATATTTCATGTCATTTTTAATAATGAATGATATTTTGTAACCCAAATAAAATTACACAATATTTTTTAGAGTGTAAATCTTAATGCGCTCCACTTTATTCAGTTAAATGTTTTTAATTAATGAGTTGAACGAGTTGTGGATAAAAGTGTTACAAAATTTTCATTTAATTATTTTACTATAAATACATACACACACATACATACATACATACATACATATATGTATCGTTTGTAGACCAAACTAAGTTTGCAAATGACGTTTGAAATACAAATTTTAATCATTATTTTGAGGACCAGAATCTCTATATAGTTTCTTTAGTCCCGGTTAGATTAGATTAGAGAGAGCCCTTAGAACTGCGATCCTGTTTTGGATTTTTTGTACAGCCCATGGGTTCACCATAACAAGTTTAATTCACTTATGAAAATAACAGGTTTGATTAGTGAGAGGTTGAATATATCGCTCGGGGCTAGTGTTGCAGCACCTAAGATTCTTTCTCGGCGAATCCTTAATATTGGACATTTCTACAATATGTGTTCTGAGGTTTCCTCCTGACAGCCACAAAATCTGCAGAGGTTCGATATGGCGTTTCCTAGGATGAATTGATGATATCTGAGACCACAGTGTCCCGTGAGTAGTCGCGTTAGTATTCTGAGATTATTTTTGTTAAGTGATAACAACTTTTGGGATTTTCCTCTTGATAGCGTAATTATGCGCTTTGTCTGTCTGTCTGTCATCTAATCTAGTCCGTGTATATAAAAACATGTAAAACGATTCCAATTCATTGCTTCTGAACAGTTTTAAAAGATCGATTACTATAAAAACTTCGTCACCTACTTTGTCGGACTTTTTGCTACTAAAACCCCCTTTACACGAGCTCACAAGTAATATGATCTGTCAAAATTTTGTATAGAAGAGTATGGATGGGATCGTCTAAACGCAATATGTAATGAAACCATCAGACATTGAGAGAAAATGGGGCTAGAGTTAATAATGTTCCAATGTCCGCCATACTTTGCAATATAATTTCTAGTTGCGTAAAACTGATTTGTGCGAATTCGTATGACAATTGCTATCTTTATGACTTATTTATTACTCTTTAAACTGTATTTCGAAGGAGCACTTATATGGCGGCTAGTTGAAACCGATTTTACTCATATTCAATGCCAAACGAACCTTATTTGGATCTAATTTCCATGAAAGCCTGACAATATCAAAGAAAGTGAAGAGGACAGTTTCACTCTCCTCTCCACATGATCTACATTAGTCTGAATCCGCACGTCCAATTTTGTGTAGTTGTGGCTGCAATTCTTTGTGTTCACTCAGAATACTTATCATCACACTAACTTAAGTTTTGATCATTTTGAGGAGGTTTTTTCGTCCTTCTTTCGTTAGGGTCACCCCTTAAGATCTTTGTGGTTCTACACACCGTTTCTTAATTTCCAATTGTTCTTATGGGATTCTCTAGCCCTCGTTACTTTGAATGGTTTTGTGTTCGTCAAGTAAACTACCTCGAGTTAGCAAGTATGTATGTACGTTCGCTCTTTCGTCGTCGACTACTCCCGAGTGGCCTGGTATCCATATTATACAAAGCTTACCTCTGTGAGAGTATTAGAATTTTAGATGGTTCAATATGTTCTTAATAATTAGGAAAAGTGTTACGATAACCTCGCTTGTGATATGGGTGCTATACTTTGGGTACGCCTAGCCGCGCCCATTAGTTCCCGATTCAGAACATAAACTCGAATCCACTTCTCTTATTTCCCCCTATAGTGCGGTCCACAATATGGACCCGTGTAAAGCTTTTTTCAGAAAATGAGATTTTCATTAATAACTAAAACGAAATTTTTCATATATCGTTCGTCCGTCTGAATTCTTGTGAGATTCAAAAAAGAGAACCATATTACAAAAATAAACAAGGATAATAGTAGGGACACGGCGGAAGGTATGGTCAAACTGTTAGGCACGAACAATCTGGATATCAAGGTCAACGAGGATAATTTTGGGGAGTTGGACAGTACATAGAACGGAGACATTATCGTTACTTACCTTCCTGCCAGAATTGTGGAGCAGTTACTGACCAACTTAAACATAGAGGGTCTTCTGTTGGTATCAAGTGAGTCCTTTTTTGAAACCAGTGTCACACAGAAGGGAATTTATCTTTGTCTAAAGATAAGCTTGCTAACAGTCAGTCTAATAAGAGAAGATCCCCTACTGAAGAGTCCAAGGGAATTTAAAAGAGAGATTTGAGAGAAACCCTTCTACAGGTTGTTCGGCAGAAGCGTTGGAGGAGAAGCCAAGTGCCCCTCCATGAGATATTAATTATACAGGCCGAACGAAGGAAGAGAATGTTAGAAACGGAACGTTAAGATTTCTCGAGATTTCTTGTTCCATGGAGCCTATCCTTTGAAGAGAACTTTGAACAGAAAGGCGAGAGACCTCAGCATTCTCCTCCTTTGTTAGGCCTGTGTTTCAGAAGGCATCGACAAAGCGTAGCTAAATTTAAAAGAATTTACAGCCCCATCAGTGACGTTCTGGGAAGACCCAATACTTGTAGATAACAAGAGGATGCTGTCATCAACCTGGTTAATACAATGAAGCATAATAGGTCGATCGCAGCATCAACCTGTCGTCTGCCAAAAGTCCAACAGAGCGGATTTTTTAAGTAAAATATCACATTATTTTCAAGTAATCTCCTCAGAAAGTAGGAAGTTTAAATTTACCGCAAAAGAATCTGTGATTTAGTAATTTCTTATTTTAACTAACACCTTAATCCTAAATGTCAAAAGAATTTCTTTCTGTTTTATATATACACCTCCTGTAGAGTTTTCACCTAAATTTTCATATACATACGGATGGTTTTAAAATAATTTATACTTAAATAATAGCAAACAACAATAAGAATGAAAATTCAAAAGAATTTGTTGTTTTTGTTTAAAAGTATGAATAGTAGAAGAGGAATGCAAGAATATAAAAAAAAAGTAAATTCCCACTCACCTTGCCATTGTGATTTATACGATGATACAATTTTAAGACTTGATTTTTCCTTCTTGTACAAACTAAAATTTTTTTGTTGTTGCTACTGCTGCTGCTACTGATGATGATGATAATGACGTCGATGTTACGGTAGGTGAGAGAGGTGTTGGTTATATAGTTGCTGCTGATGTTTTTGTAGTTGCAAATCTAGTTTATGATGATAAAGCACAAACCACAACTTGGCAAAAGGATGTGAAACAGATAGAGTGATAGAGAAGAGAGATGAAATGAATATAACAATATCACAAGAATATGTTTAACAATGTGTTTGTGTATTTTTTTATTTAGTTGTTTGTATTAGTAGTAGTACTAGTTCACACATACACATACTCATACTTGTAAACAATTTTAGAGTATCTAGAAAAATAGTTAAATGATTCAAATTTCCCTAACCGGAAGTTGGCGTCGTCTTCTTCTTCAACATCATCAACACATAAACACACAATTTATTTGATAAACAGTTTTTCTAGCTGTTCTTTAACTTCCTTTTCTATTGTTTTTTTCGTTTTGTTTTTTTTTTTTAGGAAGGCAAAGGGGGGTAGGAAATGAAAAAATCTCAATTCAAAATCTTACATCACATACAATAATACTCTTTCGAAAGTGCCAAAAACGTTTGTTTGGTTTAAGGTTTATTTTTCTTTATGGAAAATTACATTCTTTTTTTTTTTCTTCTTCTTCTTTTTGTTTTTCAAGTATCCATAGAAACCTTTTTTTTAAAACATTTTTTTAAACACAACTTTTTTTTATTCTTTTGTTACACTTTCTCTTGTTGTCTTCGATTTATATAAATTTTTTTTGTTCTTTCTTAGTTTTGTTGTTGCTGTTATTATTGCTATTTTCTTAGTCCTCTATATGTACACTCACCACAATGACTGTGCACTTAGTGTCATTTTAACATTTCGTCCTTGGGCTATAAACTTAGAACAGTGACAGCAGGGGGTGAGAGTGCTTTTTATGTTCTCCTTTTTTGTTTTTTTCCAATTACCAAACAGCAGCAGAAGGTATGAACGAGCATTATCGAGAAGAAAAAATTTATAAAAAATATTTTAAAATGGTTTTATCACTAAATAAAGGTGTATTTCACATCAATGTATGCACTATGGGTTGAACGTTTTTTGTCCAAAGAGATCATATTAAACTGATCATTAGGCATGTTTTAAAGATAAAGATCTGACTTGGCTAATAACCTAACATTGCAACATCTTGTGAACACACAACATCCATGTTATAGAAACGGCGAAAATGAAGTTTCTGAACATGTTGCGATCCACCGATAGATCACATCTTGGTGTATTGCAATCCTGGTGTAAAAAGGTACTACCAGTACCTCTGGTCTGCCGGGACTATAAACTGTTAATGATCAAATGTATCCTCGGCCTTTCCTTGTAATGACTTGACATGGGGTCGAATCAGAGCACCAGATAATCTGATACTACGGATGGCCAGTTGCTCTCAAGACTTTGACCTGGCTGGTCAGTTGGTTGAGGTTCCTTCAGGATACTCATAATGGTTTAAACACAAATTCGCGGGAAGGGACACTTAAAAAATTGATACAACGGTGAAGTATAATAATTTTTGGAATAAATTTCTGGAAACTAGGATCAGTACAAATCACAGGGTAAGGCCGTGTTTTAATAAAATATTGGATTTGAGCTCATAATGCAAAGATTGGGTATGCGTTGGTGTGCGATATACCATCGGATACTTGTATCTGATGGATGAGTGGAATTCTGAGCTATATTTGAGTAGTTGTCGATTAGAGTGACGGTTGGAGTGGCGGTGGAGTTGGTTGAGACGTTGGCGGAGTTGTTAATACCTTAATCTTTAATTTATCGGCGATTTTCCTTCATGGTTGAGTGTGTTGGAGTTTACTTTACATGCTTAATTTATCATAGTAGGTCCTTGTGGCCACTGAAATAAGTCTTGTCAATTAAAAATGTGCTTCGGACTACCAATTTGTTGTCTCTAGGTGCTACTGCTGAAACAACAGAGCCATCTTAGTAGTCTGGTTTGGCGACTTTAAAAGTTCAACATCAAGATAGTCGACAGATAGGGACAGTAACATCAATAGGGTGTAGTCACCTGATGTTGGGTTCGCCCCTAACCAGTGATTGCCTTATCCTTTGTCAGGGTTTGATTGAGCTTGTCATTCCTCAACGGGGCTACTATGGCAAGAAATCGAATAACTCAAGTACATGAGCAAAGTGTTTGTACATGGACCGGCAAAATCATGTGGTTTGTCGTCAGAGAAGCTCAATCTGTTGATGAAAAAGACCACCGTGAAATAAGACCAACACCATGACAGTTGTTCGCGTAAAGTACTTCGACAGGTAAAGGTGAAGTACGCAACAGTTCAAAAAAAGTTCAAATAGTGTATTTTCATTTAACAAGTTACACACTGTAGTTTGTAACGCACCTGCCGCGAAAAGTTCAGCAACTTTTGACGCGTCGGCAGATGATCAGGGTTGTATTTTGTTGTGTGTAGAATAACAATAAACTACAATGAAATAAATTTCACCAACAATAATCTTAAAAAACATTAAAAAAGTTAAAAATGACGCGTGATGTGTAACTTGCAGCTTGCAAAGCGCGAAATGTTTGAAAAGCGTAAAACGCGTTGCCGCCTCAACGCGTGTTGTGAACTTCCACCTTAAGAGCCAAAAAATAGCGACCAAAAGATATCGTTGTCAGGAGTATTTTCAATCATAACAAATATTACAATAGTTAGTTAAGTTTTGGGGAACATTCCTAAGGATTGATAAAATGAAATAGTGGTATTAATTCCCAAAGCTTTACAACACTGACCAATATTATGGACAAAATAGAATGAGATAAATCTGTAGTTATCGGACTAACTTGAATGAAGCTTCACAAGAGTCAAGAGTTAAGTCTTGAACTTGGACTTCAGGGATCCCTAAAATAGAACCACAGAATTAACTCCTAATTAGATGTTGGAAAAGCTTGGAATGTTAACTGGAGGCTCAGCCCAAAAAGAAGTCACATGTAATCCTTTTTAGAACCTGGGCGATCAAAATATTCCCATATACTGGTAATGTTGTGCTCCTTATAAAACGCAAATTTGGAAGTTCTGGAATATTCAAAAGAATACAGATACCTGGCAGCTAGATAACCTTCAGAATGGGTAATTAGGTATATTTTGCAAAATTAAAATTCTGTGATCTAGTTATGTACGTTATAAGAACCTTACGTAGTTATAGGACTCTTGTGTTGCGACTTAAAGCGCTCGGTTTTGATTTGACTAGATTGAAGAGGCACAATGCACTGCGACCTTGATGTGGATCTTTCGTGCAGACCGCTGGTTCACCATAATAGCTTCAGTTCACGCATAAAGCTAACTGTTTTAGTTGGTGAGAGATTAAGTGTCTTTTGGTGTTAGTAAGACAGCACCCAAAATCTTAGCTCTGGGGGAAATAGGATATGTTCTTAGGTTATAGAGTTGGCTATAGTGAATTGATGGCATCTAAGACCACAATTTTCTGTAAGTAATACAGTAAGCACTCTAAGATCGCTTTTATTAAGGACTAGTAGCATTTGGAATTTTCCCTTTGACAGCGTTATACAACGATATGTCTGTCTTTGCTTTCCAATGTCGAACAAATTCATATTTTACACATTTAGATTTCGCGTATCCTTGGGGAATGCCAAAGAAGGGCTCAAGGCCAATTAATTGCCTCTATTTGCTAGGTTTGCAGTCTGCCCTTTCATTGCCAGAGTGACCCTCATGGCTAGGCATCCTACATAAAGTTAGTTTATTGCGTTTTCCTAATTCGTTAAGTGAAGTGAAGTAGTCCATTACAACACCCGTCCTCGGTTTGAATACAAGATTACTAATTTATCCTGATTAAAATTCGAGTTAAAGGATGTTCCAGATAATCCAAAGAACTAGTGACAACTTCGTCATATATAAGACTACAGCTCTTCTTTGGACTCGTTCAAGCAACCCATACGAAGAAACTATATTCCATTTTATTTAGGATATTGTTATTAGGTCGTAGATGGGTTTGCAACGTCTCAAAAAATCCAAACATTTTAATGCCAAAATCGAAATGATATCAAATCCATAAATGTTCACACACCACCCAACAAATATATATCAAACTCGTATCTCTAGACGTTGGGAGTGAGTTTGGATGGAGAATTAAATCTAGGAAGTATCGGGTTTATATTCATATTTGTAAATACATATTTTTGGCATCAAAATATTACTGCCATCATCCAAGCAATATGTTGGATTGGTAGCGACTGATAATAGATCGTTCTTAAACATTAAAAAAATTGTTGAAGGGCGAACAGATATCTGAGAAACGCGGAAATTCAAAATATATTCATTAAAAATATGAACAACTTTCGATAAATGTCCTTCTTTTCCAACTCCAAACAACATTAGTTTTGAAATCAATAAAGACAATGATGGACGTTCCTGTCCTTGACATATCAAGAACAGTTCTCCAAAACCAAATCGAACGTTCCACAACCGTATGAATATTGTGGCAGCAGACGGACTATATATCAAGCAATTATAGAACCATCCGAATCAGACCACCATTAAGAGAACAATATAGTTCTATGTGTGTCCATATGAGGCCACAACGTTCTAGCTAACGAGCACGTGTATTCACTCAATTGAAACTAAAATTTGTTAGATAAAGACGTTTGCGTTTTAGATGAACTACGTACAGCGCAATCGTCCGAAATCAACATTAAATTTACAACCCATGGTTTTTATATATGATTTTACTTGTTAAAATTATAACCTAATCAACTGGAATTCTCCAAACTACGTTTAGCCCATAGTGCAATGATGATTTAAATGTCAAATACATACATGGATCGTTAGATGTTTTTTTTCGTTCTATTCTTTTTGTTTATTTTTCGATTTGTTTGGAAAATTTAGTTTGTTGATTTTATATCATGATACAACCATAGAAAGGTAGAATCAGTAGGGAGAGTTGTCAATTCTCTGCCTTGTTAAGTCAAACAAAAAAGAACTATAAAGAGAAAAACTTAAAAATCTTCAAATGAAAACCACGAAAAATATCATGAAATGATTCTTGAACGGCACACGCAAACAGCATTCCACACTTCTGTATCCTGTTTTTGATTTTTATTGGTTTTACAATCTTTTTGATTCAAATTATTCAATTTTATTTTCTTAACAAAAATTTTTCAATAATTTTTATTTGATGTTTTTCTTTATATTTTTTAATTTTCTTTTTTGTGACAATTCAAGACATGTAAAATTGAGAACGTACTTTTCTACTGATTCTACCTTATTATTGTTTTATTATGATTTTATATAAAAGTAATTTGAAAGATACACTTGATACGCACAACCTGCGATGATTATGTTTTAAGATTTATGCCTGTTAGCAATAAACAAAACCATACAATTTTCCTTCTTGGAACCTGTGAAGTTAGATTTTATTTGCGCATTTTTATATTCGTAACAGCCAGCATGTTCTATACACGTGTTGTATTTTTTGCAAACAAAAAGAAGAAAGTAACGATCTGTAAAGAAAAAAAAAGAAGAAAATAAAATATTTGTAATTTATTTATATAAATTATGATGTTTTTTATTATAAGTTTCAAAATGCAAAGTATAAACTTGTTTGTTGTTACCATTTTGTGGTTATTTAGTTTGGATTTTTTAATGCTTTTTGTATGTATTTTATGTGTCCAAGTATTTATACTTTATTGGCCTGACCTTTTTTGGTTTTCTTTTTTTTGTGGCAACCTTGTAGTTTAACCCTCAAGTGCTCAGGGTTAAACAACACTGAACACAAAAGCTGCCTTAAAGTGTTTGCCAATAATGTTTGACAAAAAAAAACAACGAAGAATAATAAAACATTGTATTGAATTTATAAGAGTTGACTGAGGAATTTGTAACAAAGAATGAATAGTGTTTTTTGTTCATTGAACAGGTCATACTTTCGGGCAAGACCGAAGGCTTATTAACGATAGCAAATGCAAACAATTCATTTTTGGTCTATAATGCTAAAATTAAGAAAATTATAATTTTAAAAATATCAGCTATTCATAGATAAAATATGTTTGAAAGAGGAAAATTTGGCAAATATAAGGTGATATATACAATACAATAATAATTTCCGAAATTGACCCATGAACCGATTACAAATATTTATACTTAAGTCGTTATTATGATATATCAACTAACTAACTAACTAACTAACTAACTAACTAACTAACTAACTAACTAACTAACTAACTAACTAACTAACTAACTAACTAACTAACTAACTAACTACTAACTAACTAACTAACTAACTAACTAACTAACTAACTAACTAACTAACTAACTAACTAACTAACTAACTAACTAACTAACTAACTAACTAACTAACTAACTAACTAACTAACTAACTAACTAACTAACTAACTAACTAACTAACTAACTAACTAACTAACTAACTAACTAACTAACTAACTAACTACTAACTAACTAACTAACTAACTAACTACTAACTAACTAACTAACTAACTAACTAACTAACTAACTAACTAACTAACTAACTAACTAACTAACTAACTAACTAACTAACTAACTAACTAACTAACTAACTAACTAACTAACTAACTAACTAACTAACTAACTAACTAACTAACTAACTAACTAACTACTAACTAACTAACTAACTAACTAACTAACTAACTAACTAACTAACTAACTAACTAACTAACTAACTAACTAACTAACTAACTAACTAACTAACTAACTAACTACTAACTAACTAACTAACTAACTAACTAACTAACTAACTAACTAACTAACTAACTAACTAACTAACTAACTACTAACTAACTAACTAACTAACTAACTAACTAACTAACTAACTAACTACTAACTAACTAACTAACTAACTAACTAACTAACTAACTAACTAACTAACTAACTAACTACTAACTAACTAACTAACTAACTACTAACTAACTAACTAACTAACTAACTAACTAACTAACTAACTAACTAACTAACTAACTAACTAACTAACTAACTAACTAACTAACTAACTAACTAACTAACTAACTAACTAACTAACTAACTACTAACTAACTAACTAACTAACTAACTAACTAACTAACTAACTAACTAACTAACTAACTAACTAACTAACTAACTAACTAACTAACTAACTAACTAACTACTAACTAACTAACTAACTAACTAACTAACTAACTAACTACTAACTAACTAACTAACTAACTAACTAACTAACTAACTAACTAACTAACTAACTAACTAACTAACTAACTAACTACTAACTAACTAACTAACTAACTAACTAACTAACTAACTAACTAACTAACTAACTAACTAACTAACTAACTAACTAACTAACTAACTAACTAACTAACTAACTAACTAACTAACTAACTAACTAACTAACTAACTAACTAACTAACTAACTAACTACTAACTAACTAACTAACTAACTAACTAACTAACTAACTAACTAACTAACTAACTAACTAACTAACTAACTAACTAACTAACTAACTAACTAACTAACTAACTAACTAACTAACTAACTACTAACTAACTAACTAACTAACTAACTACTAACTACTAACTAACTAACTAACTAACTAACTAACTAACTAACTAACTAACTAACTAACTACTAACTAACTAACTAACTAACTAACTAACTAACTACTAACTAACTAACTAACTAACTACTACTAACTAACTAACTAACTAACTAACTAACTAACTAACTAACTAACTAACTAACTACTAACTACTAACTAACTAACTAACTAACTAACTAACTAACTAACTAACTAACTAACTAACTAACTAACTAACTAACTAACTAACTAACTAACTAACTAACTAACTAACTAACTAACTACTAACTAACTAACTAACTACTAACTAACTAACTAACTAACTAACTAACTAACTAACTAACTAACTAACTAACTAACTAACTAACTAACTAACTAACTAACTAAACTAACTAACTACTACTAACTAACTAACTAACTAACTAACTAACTAACTAACTAACTACTAACTAACTAACTAACTAACTAACTACTAACTAACTACTGACTAACTGACTAACTAACTAACTAACTACCTAACTTCTACGAGTGTATACAAATTTCGATCTTTAATTCATTTTCCCTCTCAAAGATTAATTTTCCCTGAAAGTTCATCTAATAAGTCCTTGGATCAAATATCGGTCGCGCAAATATACATAGGCTTGTTTGTTGGGTTAAGAAGACATTGATTTTGTCAAAACATATTTAAAAATTGCGTGTCGTTTAACCACAAGAAGGGGCAGCTGCTTACATCGGCTCAAAATTGTTATTGTTTGAAATAGATCTATTAATTTTCGAGACTACAAACATTAAACAAAGCATATGCTACCTCTTTCCACCTTAAACATTTATTACTAAAATATTTTTCTCAAACAGATTAAATCGCAGCCCCATTGTAATCACTGCCAAAATTTAAATGTTTTTTTACTACCGTTTTCAGATTCTAAGAAAATTGTGCACATTTTATTTTAAACGAAAATGCTAAAAAATAACTTTATTCAAAAGGATTGAGATCAAACTAAATTTGAGTTGTAATGCGAGTATTTAAAGTTTAAAATAAAATAAAAAACGTTATAAAACAAACTTTTGTGAAATGTTTACAATTTCAAGGTGTAGTTAGTTGTTCTAATCGGATTGTTTTAAATAAAATGTATATAAATATATATATATTTTTTTTTTTGGCATACATTTTAATAAAAAGTACTTGTGGTTTTCATATTTAAAAAACTAACACATACAATAGTATAAATTATAATAATGAAAAGAAAAGTTGGAAAAACTATTTTATTAAATCATGGCAAAAAAAAGGAAATTGTAATAACCGGAAGTAGTTTTATTAAACAGCCATTTCTTTCTTTAATCCCTTTATTTAACCTAGTTTTTAATTTTCTTTTTTGTATTTTATTTTATAATTGTATTTTAAATCCTATTTAGTGTTTTTTGTTAAACAAATATTCAATTAAAACATATAAGTACATATGAGCTTAGGTTTTTGTTTAGTTTTAGATTTGATTTTAATTTTAAAGTTAAAGTTAACTCTTTTTTTGTGGCCTTGCATTACACTATATATAAACATTAGGGTGGTGTGTTTTGCTTTTTCGGGGGATACGAGTCGGATCAGTAATAGGACAAGGAAAATTTTTTTTTTAATATACAAACTGACAAAATGAATTATTTGGCTCTCGGTTGTTTAACGCCAAAATACTATGTCTACTCTGTTGTTAGGAGATACAATAGAATGTCCAGTATATTGGCTATTCTATGCACTGATTTATTGACTAAATGGACTTGTTTATTCAACTGGTAATGACGTAGAAGCACTCACTGTAATACCTCATTCGTAGTCGTAATACTTCGTAACGTAACCATTTCCACTCATAAAATTGAATTGTGAAATTCATACTTAAATCAATCCGAAGCGGGGTCAATAGAACATTAAGTACAAAATTACTAAAATCAAGATGGTAGGCTGATAGGTGTATGTATCTACATCAAATCCGAAGATATACACCTAGGGCACTATCGGACCTGCTGTGCGCTAAATCCGCATGTCTAATTTTGTATGAATGTGCCCGTAATCTTGTGCATCCTCTCATAATACATACCATCATACTAACCACGTCCTGCTGTCTTTCTTTGCGGTTCTACCCGTTTCATTATTCCAAGAGGCCTTATGAGGTTTTCTCTCACATATATTTTTAATTCTGCCCTCGTTGCGTCAAATGATTTTGCGGTCGTCAGGTTAACTACCTCGAGCTCCCTTCCATTTATAGCTATTGCATTCGCTCTTTCGTTGCCGACTACTCCCTGCCGACAACTTGCCTGGTACCCATATAATGTATATCTTACCTCTGGGAGACTATACGGTTAGAACTTTTTTACAATCCAATACGGACTTAGATTTAACTTTATCATCTGATATCGCCCTAATTGTCTTCTGGCTATCGGTAAATAGGTTAAGCCCTGTGGGCGCCATATTTATTATAATCCAATTTACGCATTCTGTTATTGCTCGGACTTCTGACTGTAAGCGTGTGTTGTCATTAGGAAAACGGTTTTATATTTCTGTTTCTGGATCTTCAATATAGAAATCCAGGTCCGCTTTGTTCCCCAATTTAGAACCATCCGTGTAGCAACTAATTCCAATGGGTATTTGCTCTTATGTTCCGCTTGACCAAGATATTCTATCTGGGATCAGCGTTTCAAATTTTCCAACATATTCTGTGTCTGGTATGCGATCAGACACGTCCACGTATCCAGTATACATTGATAACGTGTCCTATAAGCGCTTTTGGTCAGTTCGCCTAAAGTTATGAGCCCTTAGACAGTAAGTGCCGCCTCACATCTTAAATATGGGTGGAATATTTAGCAACGATTCCAGAGCCTTGGTTGAAGAAGTACTCATGGCACCACTTATACCCAAGCATTATGTACGCTGA